CTGCCGGCCAGTGAATGTAGCATTACGTTTCATTATACCTGGGAACTGCAGGCAAGATAATATTGTATATACCTAATTTAAAGTGCGTGAGACAAATGTTTGGCTGCCGATTGTCACTTCGATAAATTTACACACACGTTGGAAAGTTTTTATAATTATTTCTAGTTTCATTTCTATTATATTTCTTACCAGTATTATAGATATTAGCAATACTAAAATTTACAATAAACTATTTAATTATAATTGTTTTTGTTGTAAATATATTCAAACAGAAAACTTTTTTATTGTTCTAAATTTATATTTATCGTTAGACGTATGAATTTAATAAAAATAAAATATATAACCAGGTAGTTGTATATTTACAGTAGTTAAAGTGTGTCACTTTGAAAGCGAGTGATTGTTACGTATTGTCGTCTTCACTCGACTGCAGCTGCATTTGCTTGCAGCTAACAGTGGACTAGTAGGTACAGTATCTACTTACGATTATGTATTATTATTGGCTATTAATTCTCATCTGGAAACTAATACATTTATTATACATTAAATGTTTCAAAGTATGACACACTGGCGGGATATTTGTCACGCTGCACGTAATGTAAATAATACACGTGACCAAACGATGCCCTGTACTCATAATGTCCTCTACGTCCAGTACTGGATCCTAACTAATAGCGCACGTTCACAATCGTTCGTATAGTACACAGAGGCCGGTCATATACTTTACACTGCTATACATAATATAAATAATAAAATATTTCATACAATGTAAATGATAAATGTTAAATGCAGACTGTGCCCGCAGCCTTACACCTCACTCCCTCACTGATACTCAGTTGATAACATTACTATGTGGAGTAGGTACCAGAGTTATCTCTCGCTACAACACGCACCTACTCGTACATCATATAAATTTATTCAAGATTCATTGTCGGAGACAGTGATCGATGGTTTATTTCTATCGACTTTCTCTGAGCCACTAGCCGATATAATATAGCAGCAATAAAATGTTACGTCCTCGGTGGGTAGGTAGGTAGGCACTCCAAATTGGCTGCCGACGTGGCCATTGAGAATAAAGTTTCTTTCTCAAAGTTTGTTCCGTGTCTTTTAACTCGTTTTACGAGCTCAACTGGTCTACGTTCTGAGTACTCCAATACCGTACAATTATATTAATAGACAGGAGTGAAAATGAAAATAATTATTGTAATCGTACCATTTGGTGTATAGGTTACTGGTATGTTGATGACACGCGTGTACATAACTATGTCAATACAGGAGCAGCTTCCATTCAAGAGACGTGACCTTGTCTCACCTCGCCACACCACGCCCAGTTTCAAATACTTGGAGACAGTTTGAACTTTACATAGTTGAGCATCGTGCATATTGTTCTCCCGGTTGACGACTTCTTTATCAATTGACTAGTTGGACTCATTATCATTACATTGATAGTGTCCGTCTGTTTGTGAGGATCCATGTGCGGTTGCGTGTTGCAGCCGCAGCACTGTTTACTGCCTCGTTGTAGTTTGCCGTTCATACTGAAGTGAGTGTCACCGCTCTCATTGTGAGCCGTTGTCGGCGCACCTCTTTAACAATTACACAATGAAGTCGTTTGTTTAATGCGTTTTTATTTCAGTTGTACTATATTGGAAAGTTTAATAATAATCTATTATAAATAAAATTGTAGTGTCTGTTTGTAATACTGAAATAACCGTTTTTTACTACATGCATATAAATATAAATACGATACATATACCAAAATAACATTTTTTACAATTTTTGTCTGTCTATCTGTCTGTCTGTTTGTTCCGACAAATCTCTGAAATGGCTGTACTGATGACGGGACTTTTTTTGGAAGGTAGCTGATGTACTAAGGAGTAACTTAGGCTACTTTTATTTTAGAAAAATAAAGTTAAATTCCACGCGGACGAAGTCGTGGGAACAGCTGTTAAAAATAATAATAATATTTATGATGTTTACTACTCTTTTATACAAGAACTAGAAGACAGATTCCAATCAAATTCAATATGAAATCACATGGCATGCCATCTCTAGCTGAGTTTACACATTGTATACCTAGAGTCCTAGATACTGTCAGGGCTCACGCGGATAGTTTATTCGTAGTATTAATCTCTAATTGCTGGTAATCTCTCAAAATTATGATGTTAACTAGCTTTTGCCCGCGGCTTCGCTCACATTAATTTATCCCCTTAGGGGTGGAATTTATCAAAATCCTTTCTAAGCGGATGCCTACGTCATAACATCTACCTGCATTCCAAATTTCAGCCCGATCCGTCCAGTGGTTTGGGCTGTGCGTTGATAGATCACTACGTCAGTCACCTTTGAGTTATATATATTTAGGTATTATGATTTATTAATATAATATTTACTTTACTAAGTTTTAATAAACTCCAAGTAGAACTCGTAGTCCCAGAAGTTAGTACGATGTCTTGTTATTTTTATCATACTAGTGGCCCGCCCCGGAGTCACTCGGTAGTCATAACTTTGAGAGTGTCTAATTAGTATTACCTTTCAGACAGTAAAATAATTTGTTCAAATTCAAAAGCAGTGCCTTTATAACTCTAAATTAGTATAGATTATGTTTATCATTGGCACACATTGATTGTATTGTTATTTAAAATATCATGTACCAATAACAAACAAAAAACATGAAATGTGAATTACGTGTTAGACAAACTGTTTATTAACACAGATAATACAATATAAATTATTATGAAACGGAAACAATGTAGCTAACGTATCAGTCAGAAAAGGAATAAAACATACAGCCGACAAATATATATTTTTCATCCATTTATTTATTTGTTTCAGGCAACATAATATTATTTATATAACAATACTAGATGTGCCCGCGGTTTCACTCGCGTTAAATTTCAATAAAAATTATAGCCTGTAGGCGACGCTCTACGTTCTCAAAATATTTTATATTATTTTTTATATGTTGTGTGTGAAAGAGTAACAAACATCCATACTTACAAACTTTCGCATTTATAATATTATAAAGATTATGATTGGTTCATTATATAAATATACCTACCTTAAGGACTAACATATTTGTATAGAAAGTGAACATAAATGAAAGTAACGTGTGACATGGTTCCACCAGAGGCCTGTGTCGGCCGTTAATGCCAGGCGACTCTCACACACCCCACTGAGTACTCGATGCACTAAACCTATGTCCAACGAAACAATATTCACTTACTTATAAGTAACAACAACCTCGGAGACTAGTTTCCCCATAGCTAGCAATGTACCATGTTAAGTCGCGGTTTCCCCCTGGAAACCATCGCGGTTAATTCCTAGTTATTTAATCACGATCGGCAAACTGACCTGACCTTTTCATCTTATCATCCTGCACTGGTGCCCCGCCAGCGTAAACCGTTAGCGCAGGCGGGTGCACCGTTCCGTTATCATCCATGGAAAAAAAATAACAACCCCGTACCCAGTACAGTAGAAAATCATTTATTCAAATAAACTTACATTGAAGCACTTTTGAATAGTCATAACATTATTTTTTTAATCTACCGCTCATTCGGAATGCTGTCTCATCACAAGAAAAACGAGCAAGAAACTTGTGTGTTGCTCTTTTAAATAATTTATTCTTACTTACAATTTAAGTTTAAGTGTATGAATACAAACCACCGATTAGCACTAATTCAATGAAATAATAAAATAGAAAAAACATTCAATATACAACAACTGGTTAAACAATTAATAAAAGAAAATAAGTCATAGTGATTAGAGCAGACCAGTCCACACATGCAGCACCCGTTCACGAGTATGACGGATGAGCCAGCCACCACTGCGCTCGACTATATTTTAGGGAGCCCAATGACCCGACCCACCACGCCGCCACAAGTCTGGACATTTTAGTGAGCATGACCACTCAAAACACCAGACCTAGTACCACCAGTCAGTAGTAGTAGTAGCCCCAGTAGTCGTATGCCGCATATTGTTTTTCATAAATATTTGATTCTAGTTCCGGTCAAATTTATTTATTTAAATGGGTTCAGGAGTACGAGGATCTTTGCAAAATGTAACATTATTATAACTTTTGTTAGTACAATGTTATCCAACTAAAAGCGGAGCGCAAGAATCTAAGGCTGTATTTCACCAATCATAGTATAAACACGTTCAAGGAAACCGAGTTCAGCGTGAACTAGATTAGAAAAACAACGATGTTGATCTCGTTTTAATTCTCGCTGGAATTCACCAGCGTTGTACAGATCGCGTTTACCAAATGAAGTTTAGATTTTCATTCGTTCACAGTGTTACACGCTCATAAAATAATATTTGACGTAATGGGTAATTTAAGTGACATAATTTTAAGAAATATTTGTAATTCAATCATGTGATAATTTGGATAAGTTTTTTAGCTTTTCATGTAATAAGTACCGTCGACTACAAAATATATAACAGTAACCTTTACGTATAAACAAGGTAAAACATTATTTTATTGAGGTTTTTTTTATACTAGTGGATAAATTTCTTTTGTTCCCGATATCGTACGTTCAGAATGTATAAACGTGTTTAGCGAAGTTTGTAGCGGTGAAATGCAAAATGAATCTTTGAACACGTTTAAACGGTTTCTCACGTGTTAAATTTTAATATACAATTTTCAATGAAAATAAAGCCAATATTCTGAAGCATGAGCTATATTATTGTAAAGTTTCACCCAAATCCTAAACTTTCGGGTTCATACTAAGAAATACTTAAGAAAGTTAATCGGACTTTACATGAATTATTTTATGTTAAATAAAGCACACCAAAGTTTAAAAAAAAACACCATTCACAAGAAAACCTTGGGAAAAATATAATACTAACTGAAAAAATAAATTATAATGAGTTAGGAAATACAAAACATACATTTTATACACCAACAAAGACAAAACTGTATTGGTTACCACCATCGTTTAGTCCTCTCTATTGTATATTATATATATGTATATACAATCGAGTATTTCACTACATGGATTGTAAAATGAACCTTTCGGATGTGAATGACTGCAGGGCACGTGGTAGGCGGCTGGAGCCCGGGGGCAGCCAGGGGCAAGCGGCAGCCGCGCAGACAGAGCGCAGAGGCAGAGAGAGAGATACAGCGCGCGCGGCCGCGGCGCGATGCGCTGACGCCATGCGCCGCCAGACATGCCACGTCGCGCCGCGCCCGCGGCACTGCTGCTGCTCACACTCGTACTCGTCGGTGAGTAGGTACACGCACCCACGCGCTCACACCCACGCACACTCACGGACTCTTACCCACACGCACGCTCACACGCTCACACGCTCACACACTGAGCGTGCGTGAGTCCGTGAGTCTGTGAGTCCGTACTCACACGCACACAAACTCACGGACTCGCACACGCACACACCCTCACACACTCACGGACTTACGCCCACACACACGCTCCCACGCTCACGCACTGAGCGTGTGTGAGTCCGTACTCACACACTCACACGCACACACCCTCACACGGTCACACACCACCAGCCGCGCGGACACATTTACAGATCCTGAAACACTAACCCCCAATATATTCGTTAAATTATTATCATATAATAAATAATAAACGCTCACCAATAATGAACACGTCACCGATGAAAGTAACACAATGCCATATTGAATTTCATTTAGGCTATTAGTAAGTTATCTTAGCGAGTTATTATTAGTAAGTTATGTTGCCAGTACCCTGGCGACACTCCCTCCGGCTCTCACTGAAAGAGCCCGTTTGTTGCCTCACCATTTGATTTCTAATTATTACAACACATTTATTATCTGGAACAAAGGGGCGATTTTTCTGATAAGAAATTATAAACACGACATCCGATTATATTTAAACAATTTATACAATGTAGTAACTAGCGGCCTCCTTACATGCGGACGGACCTCCCCACATGTAACTTTAATAATACAATACGGGCCTTTATATTTTTAACTTTTGATCTCAATGTTTCTGTTCGCTAGAATTCTCCGGGTGTTCGGAGACGAAACATATATTCCACACACATATTAGAGACCGAGCTACAAATAATCAATACTTCTAATAATATCACGTTACACATACACACACACAATACATATGAAAAACCGCCTTCAATCAACCCTAATATAAGATCGGCACGGAATGAGCTTTGATTGCAAAAAGGATAACCATTATCTGGCACCTAATAACCTAATCACGTATCGATGTCATTAACATTTCTCAATTGTAACAGATCTCAATTTGGTCACAATCGAGACTGATTAATAACATCCTTAGTAATTAGATGTCGCCATATTGAGATTAACTTTTTGAAAGAACTTAACTGTTTGAATGCCATGGCACATGGTCACAGGAAGGCCGCGAGGCTGAGTTGCATGTATGTATGTGTGTGTGTGTGTGTGTGTGTGTGTGCAGGGTGCGCCGGGAACCCGGACGCCAAGCGGCTGTACGACGACCTGCTCAGCAACTACAACAAGCTGGTGCGGCCGGTGCTCAACGTCAGCGACGCGCTCACTGTCCGCATCAAGCTCAAGTTGAGTCAGCTCATCGACGTGGTGAGACACACATACTACTACTACTATTATATTATATTATATTATACATACACTAGCAGACCCAGCCACGCGTTGTTGTGGCTAATGTTCTTGAATTAAATAATATTGCGACAATAAATTGAGATGTAAGCTATCTTCCAAGTTGGATCAAATTGCACACAATGTGCAAATCAAATTTGCAATCGGTTCAGTAGTTTAGGAGTTCATCGCGGACAAACAACTAGACAAGTAATTTTTATATAAAATTATATATAGTGAGCTAGTGAGCTACGCGAACATTATGAATATTTAAATCAGCTATCTTAATACCTTAGTGCTATAACTCTAACTGAATATGTATATTCAACACATTTAGATCCCTCGTACATTTACAAATTAAGGCATCGAAGATGTCACTACAGTGATAAGGTTATAAGTTACAACAATTGGTAACCCTATGCTCATGAGAGCTATGAGGTAAACTTGTACATATACAAACAACTTCCTGTCAGTATCAAACGTTATATATGTACAACAAATACCGTTATATATGTACAATAAATATTTCTGACAGCTAGACACACTTCCGTGCAGAGAAGATTTAAAAGTAATTTTATATTTCAAAAGTACCACCAAAAATAACACGTTCAAAGATTCTCAAAATGATACTGGCTTTTAAAGGAAAATGTTCACACAACAATCGATGGTATCCTAAAGCGAAACGAAGCCGGCCGTCCGTGAGGTACGCAGCCGCGGATGAGACCGACCGATTCTATTATATTTACTTTCCACAATATCGACATTCAGTTTATTATTATTGCAAGCTATTGTTATATGTATACATAAACTGCAATGTACGAAGATGTATTCATATTGAGTGTTCTTGTCTTTCTTTTTCAGAATCTGAAGAATCAGATAATGACGACAAATCTTTGGGTAGAACAGGTAATGGTTATATGT